CGAAGGCGTTCGACCTGAAATGCGTCATCCCGGAAATCGACGGCGTGGGCGAGCCAATACTAATGTATGTCGACGTATAGTGCACGAAGAGGACGACGACCCTCGAGATTGAGGCGTGGACTGGGATCTGGCGGGAAGCGCAAAAGAATCAGGTGCGCGTCACTTCCCCGTCCCGCGGACATACGTCATCTGCCCGCGACGGTTCAATGTCACTGTGCCTGCCATATGTCTGACTCGCACGGGTGACGGACAGCCTACAGCAATGGTGCTTGTGCACCAGCCTCGACTGGCGATCTCACAAGGAGACCACATTGTCTTGAACGACGCTACGGCGCGAAGCACATGGGCAACAAGTGCCCTAGGATGATGAAGAAATGGACTATACGGTACACAACCTGTCTCCTCTCGATGCTAGTTTATTCCCTTGCTACTTTCCCTTCCCACCACCATCCCCCATGTCATTCGAGCTCCGGCTCGTCGTTACCCCTCGGCACTCCCCCTATGGTTTCTTTGGACCCCTCCCTCTCCCTCTCCCTCTTCCCCAATCCCAATCACTCACTCTCCGACCGTCACACGTCTTAGTACTACACTGCGCTCGTACACTGTTGTCGTTTTGTCCGTTTGCTGCATTTTCTATGTCACCTCGCTCGTCTGCACTGCCTATATAATCGCCGTAACCCGTCACACCCATCGCATGCTCGCCGGAACGCGGCCACCATCACCACCCACCTTCCACCATCCACCCCCAACTATCGCCCATCGTCCGTCCACTGTCCGTTGTCCATTGTCGTCCGCAGTTCTGCTCGCTTTTTACACACACACATATTCGCAGTCGCAGTCGCATATACTTAAGACGAATACCCTTAATCCCCAGGCCCTGTATGACTTGACCGTTCCAGCCTCCTCGACACCCGTGTTGTGTAAATAGCCCAAATACACCTGCTTTCGGCATGTCGACGTCGCTCGCGCCTCTGTCACATTACCGTGGATGCGATGCAGCATGGCCGTCCTCCGCCGCCTCTCGAGCGCGGGGTTGCATATGTCGCGGTCTCGTGCGCGGTAGCTGAACTTTGCGCAGGAGCGCTTGCCCTCGGCCGGTCCGCACTAAAGCGATCCGCGACCGTGTGCACACACGACTCTAACTGAACTTTGTTTACCACCGCCATGTTGCTCCCCCTCGGGCCTCAAGCCTCCTCCGCCAAAATCGCATGACAACTGACTTTTGGTCGCCGTATGATCATCTTCAACGTGCGATGTACGGGGGAAATAGCGGTGGTGTTCCCCGCCTGTTCGTACCTGTTCCGATTCGTACGCGCCTTCTTTTTCGTGGCAGAGTCGCTGCATCTATCTTATCGCTCGCACTGCGCGCCGGGCAGCTTCGAATCCCAGCGTTCTTTGGCCACCTGAGCTGGAGAGGATCGGACTGTGCGGGATGGAGATGCAATATCAAAAGCAAGCCGGTGCCCCCGCCTGCGTCCATGCGGTCCCGGAGGGGACTGAATGTCACGGAGCGACAAGGGAGGCATGCGTCCAGCGATCCTCGAGGGTCTGCTGGTTCCGGCATTCTCTCCTCGCTCGCTCGCGGCCACCCGGGGGACGACGCTGCGTTGGCAGCAGATATCGACAGCGCATGATCCCTGTCAGGCGGCTTCCCATGGTAAGCTCACGTTCTGCTTCTCCACGCTCTCACTCATCGCAGGCGCCACAGGGAGGAAGCCCAACAGCCGCTTAAGCTTGCTGTTTTCCCGCCCCGTCCCTGGTTGATCTTGGACGACGAGCTGTGAGCTTGTTCGACCGGATGCGCAGGAGGTGTCCTGTCCATGACAACGGCCCACGACAGCCACGAACGCCGTCGCGGAACGCGGTGGCCATCGAACAGCGCAGGCCTATAGCGCGGTACATGCCTAATTGCGGCAGCGCAGAGTCAAAGGTGTGTGCTCCCGAGAACCCGCTCGATAGGCACACATTCGGCTTACGGCACTCTTGCCCTCTGCAGCCGACCGAGAGGCCTTCTGGTGTGCAGCTCGTGACACCGACCGCGCTCGCGCACGCGGCGGCGTATGTTCAGTAAACCCCCGAGAAGCGTTCGTGCATCTGCTGGAGGACGGCAACCGCGTGGGCCGCGTCTGCGTAGCGTCCCGCTTCCGCAGGTGTATCACATCGTCCGTCGACTTTCTAGGCGGCGTCTCGCAGTGTTTCCCAATTGCAGAGGATGCTTGTCGCCCGAGAATACCAGCTGCTGGGATACAAAAGCCTCCGCATGTCAGACGAGTGGCCCTCCAACCACCCGCCTGACACAGGCCCTCCTCCCCACTACTTGCGCCGACACCTTCCATACTCTTTTGCAACAGCATGGCTTTGTCGGCTACACTGAAGCGCGTCTTCTTCCTCGCCGGGGTGGCTCTCGCTGCCCTGGTCGCCGTCGACGCGACGCAGGTCATGCACCGCCCGGCGGACTACAAGGACGCGCCGCGCAAGTTCGCCACGGCTCACGCGGAGACCAAGATCGTCCACAAGCGTGCGGGTTCGCACGTCCAGGCGGCATACTTCACGAACTGGTTCGTCGGTCTGCCGCTGCGATAACGGCACAATGTCGCGTGCTGATAGGATCTCTCGTGACCGTAGGGGTATTTATGGCGCCAACTTCCGTGGGTGACATACGGCCGCTGTCTTCCGAGCAGAAACTCACTCAGTGCCCTCTTTTCCCCTCCGTATGCAGAGCCGACAGATATCAACGCCTCGCCGTTGACGCACATCCTCTACTCCTTCGCCGACGTTTCTCCCGAGACCGGTAGCATCTCCTTGACAGATTCTTATGCGGACGAGCAGGTGCGTCCGTGCCGCATCTAAAGAGATGAACAGGTCGTCTGACGTATCTTGACGTAGAAACACTTCCCTGGTGATTCCTGGGATGAGCCGGGCAACAACCTTTACGGCTGCCTGAAGCAGGTATGAACTGTCCCATACAGAGCGACCCGGATCATCTGCTCACTTGATTCCTTTGTGCGCGCAGCTCTACCTCCTTAAGCTTCAGCACAGGTAAGCATAGGCCCGCATATTAGCTGCCAAGAGTGTTTGCTGAACCGTCCCGAGTAGAAACCTGAAGGTCTTGCTCTCCGTCGGCGGCTGGACGTACTCCCAGAGCGGCCACTTCAACTTTGTGACAGACGCGGGCAAGCGTGCGACGTTTGTCTCCACGGCAGTCAGCCTGATCGAGACCTACGGGTTCGACGGCATCGACATCGACTTCGAGTACCCCAACTCGGATGCGCTCTCCTCGGGCCTGGCCTCGCTGCTGTCCGAGATGCGCACGGCGTTCGACAGCCTCCAGCGGCAGAAGGGCGACGCCACGCCCTACCTCGTCACGGTTCGTCTCCCGCCATGCACGCCCCCCTCAATGAGTATTTCGGGCAGCTGATTGAGTTGCTCCGCGACAGGCTGCCGTCCCGGCCGGCTCGGACAACTTCGAGTGGCTGAAGGTGTCGACCATGGACAAGGCGCTCAACTTCTGGAACCTCATGGTACGCATCGCGGGACCGTGGGTGCGCGGCCGATAACGACATTGATATACTTAACTCCCCGACGCCCAGGCATATGACTACGCTGGCTCCTGGCTGACCTTTGTACGTGCGCTGCAGATCTCCCCGTCTCTGCACGGGAGCGAGCCATATGCATATGGAGCTGACTCCCTGCCACGTTTGCATTCCAGGCCGACAACCAGGCGAACCTGTACGGCGGCGTGCGCACGAACGTCTCGACCGATAAGGCGGTCAAGTGGTACCTCCAGAACGGCGCCACCGCGAGCAAGATCAACGTCGGCATCCCGATCTATGGCCGCGCGTTTGAGTCTACCACCGGCATCGGCGCGTCCTACAGCGGCGTGAGTGTCGAGTCTTCCCCGCCTGCGAACCCTACGAACCGTGCGGAATACGAGTCGAGCGCTCATCGTGCTGACATGGTCGCTAGATCGGCCCTGGGACGGTTGAGGCGGGCATCTACTCATACAAGGCTCTCCCCCTCGCCGGCGCGACGGTCTTTGAGAACCTGACGGACGTCACGAGCTTCTCGTATGATGCGGCGAAGAAGGAGCTCGTGTCGTACGACACCCCGCATATCGCCTCCCTCAAGGCCAAGTACGTCCAGGACAACGGCCTCTCCGGATCCATGTTCTGGGATGTGAGTCTCATGCGGTCTCTCCCGCCGAGTCGGAATATACATCATGGCTGACATCGCACCTTGCCGCCCTTTCCAGCTCTCTACTGACAAGACCGGCGCCGACTCCCTCGTCGGCACCACCGCGGGCGTATACGGCAGCCTTGACCAGACCCAGGTTCGTCCCCGCTCGATGTCCTGCACAGCACCATTCGACTCACGCGATTGAACCGCTCGCTCTAGAACCACATCAACTTCCCGAACAGCAAGTGGGACAACGTCCGCAACAACATGGGCACCGGCCCCAGCGCGCCCGCGCCCACGACGACGAAGCCTTCGACCACGGCCCCGGGCTCCACGACGTCCAAGCCCGCGAGCACCTCCACCAGCACCGGGTCCAGCCCCACCGCCGGGGCATGCGCGGGTGTCGCTGCATGGAGCGCTGCTGTGAGTCCCGCTGGTCGTCTTGTCCCTTGTCCTGGAGTCGGTACTGACGAGCCCCTCAGGCCACGTACGTCGGGGGACAGAAGGCGACCTACAGTACGTGCTGTTTGCTGCTTGTGATCTGTTTCATCCTGTTCATCTCCTGTCTCCAGACGGTGACCTCTGGACTGCGAAGTGGTGGACCCTGGGTGACGTCCCGGGAGGCGCTGGTGAGTATCATAACAACAACTGGAACATTGTGACTCACGACTCTGCCCTAGCTGGTGTCTGGACTGACAACGGCAAGTGCTAGACGTAGATCTAGAGCTTATGTTTGAAAGCGACGATTTCTTGGGGATTAAATATACGCGAATTCTACACGATCTGTTAAAATGAGACGGCAAAGAAGGCTCGCCGGTACTTATCTCCCTGGCGGGGAGTCGAACCCCGCTTTCGCGCGATCCGCAAGGGTGACAGGCGCGTGTACTAACCGATATACTACCAGGGAGTCCATTATCCGTTAGCTTTGATATCGATATCGTAATGGAGTTGGAAGGGTGTGTAAAATGCTAATAGGGCATTCATACAGATTCATACATATTACAGTTCAACCACGACGACCAGACACATGCCACAACCTAGCCATCTGATTCAGCAGGCTTGGATTTGACTATACGAACACCGCTTAGAATGGCCTTCTTTGGTGGGGTCGGGCGAAGTGATGCACCGAATGTTGTGTGACTGGAAAGAGGCTTATCCGTCCTGACAGAGCTATGCGTCGGCGGCACGATGGGCAGTGAAGGTAAGGGCGGTGCACGGCTCCTTTGCTTTCCCCCGGGCGCAGCGCTAGAAGCTGCAGTTGTGGGTGTATGTCGTGAGGTAGAGGTGGTGGCGGCGGCTGCGGCTACTGCTGCTACAGGCTTCGGCGGAAGTGATGGATGCCCTGGCAGGGATCCGACGGCCGCCGTACTGGTAGCGCCTTCGAGTTGTCGCAGCTTGGCCTCCATGCGGGCGATCTTCGCGTCAGTCCTGTAACGAGGGGAGATGGGCTTTTAGACACGGTTGTACAGGACAGATGTGGCGCTCCGCGCGGAGGGTCGGTATGATTCAGGATACGAGACTCACGCGTTGGACCGCCCTGTGCCTGCGCTCTTCAGCAGGCTCAGCGTGGTGGGTTTGCCCACCTCACTGATCGCCCTACGGTTCTTGGCCCCCACTCCTGGTCCGCCGGCTGCGGAGTCGATGGGTGCCTGGTTCGCGTACGTCACGACCAGCTTGCGACCACGCAGGAGTTTGTCATGGGCGTGCTTGAGAGCCTTCTCCGCATCCTAGTAGAGGGCAAATAGCGGTGGCTTGAGCGTGAATCCTAAGCTACCGAGCTGTGGCCGACCCCGGGTTCGACTGCACATGGACGATGGAGATGTCATGCCGTCGTGTGTGGGTGCAGTACCATGTTAAAATCAACCCGGGGTCAGCGCGCGGTCTCAAACTGAATGGAGAATGGACGTACGTCTCTATTTCCATACTCAACAAAGGCATAGCCTCGTGGTTTCCCTTTGAGCGGACCAGACTTGTGGAAGAGGTAATCGAGCTTAGATATCTTGCCGAACTTCGAGAAGACCTGGAGGAGAGTGTATCTGAAGATGGAGACATGAGCCGGCGATGAGATGGCACCGCATGGCGGTTGGGAGGTATGCTCACTCGTCGACGCTAGGGTGGAGATTTCCAACGTACAAGCGATCCTTGAGGAGAGGTCGCGTTTGAGCCGGTGTCGAAGAAGACGCCACAGGCGCGATGGGTTCAGATGGAGTCGGGTAGGAGAGATGTGTGCTGAGGGTCTCAGACATTGAGGCGGTGTTCGGCGTATTGGGCTCCGCAACAGTTGTGGGCGACGAGCGTTCAGGAGGAGTGGTAGCCATGAGGTGCACGACAGCGGCAGGGCAAGCGACAAGGATGTCGGAGGACGGAGAGAAGAGCGGTAGCGCTCGTGCTCGGTGTCGTACATGTTAGCGCCCATTCCCACCGCTAGCGCTTGTACTCGTCTGCCGCTCACCGAGGACCCCGCACTGTGCAGGCGCATCACCTCTACACTTAGCACCATCATCGTACAGCTCCTACATGATCGCGCAACGAATGTCTGTCAAGACATATCGAGTGTTTATGCGGTGCACACGGTGCGTTACTACCATGCCACTGGTCAGCCTGAGCTCGAGGGTGCACTCAAGCTTCATCCCTAGCCTCCTCAATGGTGTCTGACAACTCGGGTGGATGAGGTCAAAGTAGTAGTTACGTGACCACTCACGGTGCCTACATCATGGCCATACTGCAAAGTACAAGACTCGCCGCATTGGTCTAGCATGTCGCTGCAAGGAATTCTTGAAAATTGCTCGTTGCCTCAGAGTTACGTAGTACCTAGCAAAGTTCAGCTAGTGCGATGAGCCGAACACCAGCGTATTGCGCGCGGCGATTGTGCCGTAAGGACATGCTGAAACTAGGACATGCTGGTATTCGTACTGACGGTGAGGTTCTGGGTAGCGATCCGCGCGACCACCTGCGACCACGCAAGTTCCGGGAGGACCAAGAGGGTACTGATCTGTCGATGATGAGGTGCAGCAGTGGCCTTGAGGCAAGTACTCCGCGTGTATCACTATGAAACTAGTACAGAAGGCGGGCGGATTGGTGCCTGCTCGAGCTAGCCGTACGTGGTCGCGTCTGCACCCGTGCCTTCTGGCTCACTGACTCGGTCGCAACAGAAATGGCACTTTCCTTGGTCCTTCACAGAACTCTGAACCACCACATGCATCAGAGCCTTTGCGCCGCCGCTCCTCCGGGGTCAGGAATTGCCATGATAGGCAGGACGATACAATGCGGCTGATGCACGGTTCAGTCTCCGCCATCGCTCAATGCATCTCGGTCCCTTGAGCGGCCTATTGTTCTCGATTCTGGCCATAGGAACTCGGTGCTGCGGCGCGCCATGGGGCAACCGGCTGTAAGTACACGACTGATGCATCTACTGCTACTTCGCCGTCCTCCGATCATTATCCCCGACAGATTGTCCGCGGGCCGCAATGAAAACCTACCGTGCCTCACGACGTCGTGCTACATATCGGGACCATCATTGTGTTCGCATCGGCAACGACTCGCGGAAGGACGTACCGAGGTGCTAGCCAATGTCCGGTCTCGGGGAAGCACTTCGAGTCTCGAGAGTCGTGCCCTTTTCCCAAGACGCCGCCAGTCGATCAGAGGACGCTTTCGGATGACATGCTCCGCGGGACATGGCGTCGCCAGAAGCATGCGCAGCACTCGTCCAACAGCACGGTAACGAGCAAGCCGCGAGAGAAAATGCCGTTGTGTCGAGGCGCTCGGTCAGTTTGTAATTCCGTCATGGGCATGGGGGCGGCAGGTCCAGCGCTCTCAGCTTTGTGGGTCCATGAGAGAGTCTGTCGGCGTGCATTGACGAAAACGGTCGCGCACATCTCACTTGCGGGCGCCGATGGCGAGCGAATGTCCGATGCTGACCGTGAAGAGCGATTCGTGTTCGTGGGCGCGTCCGAGCGGATCGGGAGAATGAGCAGAAGCACGAAACCCAGAAGGATGATTCGAACGCAGATACAAGTACAGGAATGCGACCAGACTTTGTACAGGAAACAGATGTGCGGATGGAGTGGGGTATGCAAGCAAATACGAGATATGAGACGCGAGAACGCAAATACGATAGAGACGAAGCTGCAGCCCTATTAGGCCACATTAAGTTAAGTGAGACGTTCAGCGGTAGGGGAGCAAAGGTGCCAGTAGCTGAGCGCGCGCAGTGAGACGAGACCTCAGAGCGTAGACGATACGGCCCCAGAAGTCAAGCAGCTAGCTCGGTCATGAGCTCGTCCATCCCAGCCTCCGGATCCTCGACCATCGCCGCCTCCATCGCCTCTCGCTCTGCTTTCTCAATCTGGCGCTTCGCGCAGTTATCAGAGCCAAGGTGCCGGAGGTACGCGTCGTGACGAGAGAGCGGGTAGTCGCACAAGTGGCAGAGCACGAACACGGCCTTCCTGTTCGGGTTCTCGACGCATGAGCTCATCAGATGACGCTTCATGTCGCCCTCGCGAGTGAAGATGTTGTGGCAGCGGGGGCACGCGGCCGGGTTGGCGATCGCCTTCTTCTTGCCCTTCGCCGACGACCAGGACGACTTGGTCCGCCTGCCCTTCCGCGAGCGGGACTGGCTCGCGACCACCTTGGTGGTGACGGCCTTGCGACGAACGGGTCGGATGGTACGATCAGAAACGACCGAGCTGGACCTGGTACGCTTCGCGGGGCGGAAATCCTCGTCCTCGTCCTCGTCCTGATCCTCCTCGGACCTGTCGGCCTCGTACTCGCTCTCCGAGCCGGCGTCGCTCTCGGCGTATTCGCGAGCATGTTCGTGCTCGCATCCGTCATCACAGGATGCCGCAGTCGTGACCCGACGAGTGGTCAGTCGTGCAGCATGGGGTCCGGTAGAGGCAGAGGGCACAGGGGAGGCACGACGAGACCGAACGACGCGTCCGGGAAGAGGGCACAGACTCCGCTTCGGAGCAGAAGGGGTAGGAACAGCACTAGCGGTCCTGAGGGGAAGAGGAGAGGTCTTGCGAACGCGAGGCTCGGGGGCCTTCGTGACCTTCGGGCTGACAGAACGTCTCGAGCGGCGAGTGCGCTTCGCCTCGAGAGAGGGCTTTGCGAGCGACTCAGACTCAGGCTGGACTACCGCAGCGTCTGCTGCAGATGAAGACGCGCGCTTGCGCGTGCCAGGGCTGTCGACGAGGTGGTCTGAGGTGGGGTCAACATCCACGGTGGGCGAGTCGGGAAGGGCGGGGTCGTTCATACCCTGCGAAGAAAGCTGCTCGCTGCAGGAGCCCTCAACCGGCGTTACCAGGAAATGCCCCTCTACAGGAGTCTCTAGGATGACGGGGAGGGATCCGACGTCCGAGAGGGGCGTGCAGTTCCAGGAATTAGGAGATGAAAGCACGGAGGGCGCGATCGTCAGGGGAGTGGAAATCATGCTGTCTGACGACGTGCCAGAAGACATGGCAGGGCTGTAGAACGTGAGAGCCACGCTTTCTGGTGAGAATGTCGCCATTGGGCTCTGGGGTGTGCTGTGGATGTGCAATCTTGAGATACCGGACGCCATGAAGTTCGTGGGCTAGAGAGGGCGTGAATACAGCTACGCGCGAATGCTAGTTGGAGGTACTCACTGAGTCGCCAAGCATCGGTGACTGGGTACTCGAAGCGGAGGAGAGAGTATCGAAGGGGTTGGGGCGGATTGAGGACGAGAAGAAGTTGTCGATGGAGTTGACACTGTCGAGGGTGCCGAGAGGAGGGAGCGCATTACGCGCTAGGGAATCAAGCGAGGTGAGGCTATGAGTCTTGTCGTCCAAAGTCGCCGAGTCGTAGTTGTGGATGAACTGATCGAAACAGTCCGCCGCGCTGGCATCCAGGAGACCATCTCCGTAGTAAGGGCTGGGGTCGACTGCACGCACGGTA